TTCCTGTCCTAAATGAGAATGGAAAATACATAGTTAAAGCTTCTCACAAAAGTAATGCATTTCATTTTTCATAAACTCAGTAGCAACTAATCCATCAGGATCATAACAAGAGCTGAGTGTTTAATGAGACATGTTTTTAAATGACGCTCTGATCGGAGGTTTAACTGGGTGACATTTTCAACACTTCTCAGGGAAAAAAAATGGCTGAGGTGAAGATCCTGTCACCTTTTAAGTGGTTACAATAATAATCCAACTATTCAAGAGAAAATTTCAATCTGATTTCCCCCAGTGACAGAGTTTCGCAAGTTGTAGTTATTTCAAAAGGCATAAATTAAACTCCAGGAACAGTAGCTGCAAGAGTTCTTCCAGTGAGCCTGCTATTGAATAAGAATAAAAAGAAAGAAAGAAGAAAGCTGCTTCCTGACAAAACTGCAATATAATCTAACGGGCAAGGCAGGTCAGCAAATGTACATTTCAGAGAAAGATCTCTTCTCTGAATTGCACTCTGGGTTTTTCAGCCATAATGCAGCTCTCAATGGCATTTGTTTGATACTTTCAGCTTCTCTTGTCAGTGATCTTTTGCATATAGAACAAGTTATAATTTGTACTTATAGCAACACATCGGATGGAGATGATTGGTCTTAGAATGAATTAACTGTACAAAGAAGCAGTCCTTGCCCTGAATAATTTATAACATAAGATAGGCAAAAGGAGTTATTTTTACCCTATTTTATAGTAAAAAATTACTTTGGGATATCATGTAGAGAATAATGTACAAAATATGAAATTGTATATAACAATGAAGTGAAAGTAAAGTACTTTCAACTTTTCTGTGAATTAGTTAAATGGCAAAACATTAAAAAACATCTTCTTTGAACTAGAGTTTAAATTTGGGATTAGAAGCACTATTTATAAGACACTTCCAACTCATAGCTGCAAAGCCTGAAGCCTTCTTCAAGAAGAAACCACAAGATGTCTTTCATTTTGGATGAGAACAAAACCCAACTTGCAAGGAATTCCTCCTATTGATCTGGGGGCAGACAAAACCAAGGCCATGGGAAAAGCTGGCTCTATTTCCCAAAGCACAAAACTAGCATAGGTAATAATACTGATTGTTGTTTATATTTTCAGTGCAGTCCTAAAAGCCTTACTTGTTTTTACTGTACACCTCTGTATTATGAACCAACGGTCCACAACTCCTTCTGGCCATTGGTTAGAGTGCCAGTCACAAAAGCCAATAATGAGGGGGGGAACTGCGACCAACTAAATTAAAAAAAATCATTTCAACATTAATGCTGCTTCTATTTCCTAGGGGAGATTGTACCTCCAAGGTGGTGTCAAGGGGCACTGGTTGACCTGGTGTTCTGCCAGTGCTTGGAAGACAGTTGTCAAGAATTCACATGTAGATAGCCTGTCAGATCTAATTAACATGCAATTACATATCATTATATTTGAATAGCAATATCGTGCAAATGATCAGAAAAGCTACCTACCATATAAAAAATAAAGAATGCCATTTTAGACAGACACATGTATCTGAGGAATCCTTGCTTCCTTTTTAATAGTAGTCTTAATAGCCACATATAATAATGAAAACTGTTTTATAAAAGACATCAGTACTGGAGTACTGACACATAGACATTAGAATTCAATAGGCATCTAGAATTATATTGAATCATAATTATATTGAATCATTGTCCTTTGTAGTGCAGAGCTGCCTGTGATTCAATTTTGACTGTTCATTTAAAACACATACTGATATTCTTTGTGGGGGAGGAGAGCAGAGTATACAGTAAAACTTCGCTTTATGAGTGTCTTTTATACAGGCTATGTCACAAATTGCTTTATTTAATTACAAAGATAAGTTATAATGAATAATAGCTAAACAAAAGAGAAGCTAAACTGGTGAGAGGAAAAAAATTCTTCCTAATATATTTTAAGATCAAAATAAACATGGCAGAAAAATTTAACAAGGTTGTTCCAAACGGCAGGATAGTCAGAAGTTTCTTTTACCAGAAATGATGAGAGGAGGTGTGAAAAACCCCCCAAAAGTCATCAGTAGGTAAGTGGGAGGAGGAAAGAAGTATGACAGAGAAAGATGACTTTATGGAGTAAGCTTAAGTAAGACTATGGAGAAGAAATACAAATTGTATCTTTAAATGAAAATGGGGTTCTTCGTGGTGGTTTGAGGATTTGAGTGGTGTTCACTCCTTTGAGTGCTTTAGCTAGGCTAAAGGGGGAACTTTTCTGCACATTCAAAAATAGCAGAAATTGGGTCAACTACAGAGGAAAGAGTTATGGTAGTCTTAGTGAAAGGAGCTGCAGGCATGGATGACAAGATCATGTTAAGAAACAAGGTGATGGTTCATCCTTTGAACATACTCTGTTGTTATATTTATCTTGTCATTGCTCTTTCTTTGCCTAAAATGCAGTTGTTTGTTTATTGAAAGTCAAGATTTTAACCAAGTGAAACGATGTGTTTCATTTCATATAACAGGGCTGTTTCTAATCCACATTCCTGCTGTGACTCATTATAGCATTCTGCCCCATCCAGCTCCACTTACATTTAAAAATACTACATTCCAGTATTAACATTTTAAATCTCTCAGACTCCCAAATCGTGGGATTTATCTGATATTCTTTAAAGAAAACTTGTGCTTCAGAAGAAAGTTTTTTAAAGTCTTGAATTTTTGAGAAGGTTTATAATTATGCCACAAGAGATTCGAATTCCAGCCCTCCCCATTCCATTAAACTTGAAAGTTAATTTCTGTTAGTGATGAAAGCTGAGGATGGGCTCAATGCGTTAGTTAGCACACTAGTTTTCTTGTCAAACTGCTAACTTCTGACAATGATGGCAAGTGCTTGTATTAGGAAACAGAAAGCCATGCAGCAGACGGCGCACTGCTTTGAAAGCATATGGCATTATTTTTTTCCCTCGTTGAGCCACAGTGTAGAAGTACATGTCAAAACAACATCTATTTTAGAGAGAAAATGGTTAGATCCCATTGTTGATTTACACTCTCTTCACACTTTATGATGAAGTCAAAACTCATGGTAACAAGAGAAAGGAGCTGACTGCAAAGGCTGAATTCATTTAGTTTTAATCCCCAAAACAAATGATGAAAAGTGATGAGAAGTGAGAAAATGCAGACATATTCAGTGAGATTAAAACAGGAGAGAATGAAGTCCAATATTTACCAAATGTGCCTGGAAAAGCTACATCCATGGGCCCACTCAGCTTTTCTTTTAGGGAAACACAGGTTTGTCCAATGGATGAGTCTATATAGCAAAAAAGCTTTTACGTCTAATTTTCAGACTTACGCAGATGATTTATGGAGCAACTCTCAGGATTCCCATCTGCCAAGCACCACATGGATTTGGCTTTTGAGGGCACATTTTGGTATGTGATTCCCCGATCATCCCAGTGGTGCAGCAGTGTGAACAGGACTGCATGCCCACTGCTTTCCTCAAGGAACAGGGTAGGAGGACTAAAAAATGGTTGTGCCTTTTGAGGCAAAAATGTACTTTGTGAGTAACGATAGCAAAATGGGATGGGAGACTTAATGAATGGGATTCGGTGTAAATAAGCTAAACACTCTGTGCAATTTGTGTCCTGAAAATCATATGTTCAAAGACAAACCCGAATAAGTACATTCCCAGAAACTTCTAAGCCACACTCATTTTCTTTTCCTTGGCATCTCCCCCAGCAATTCATTAGGCCCCCCTCCATAAATGTCTTTCATTTTCTGCTTGAATCTATGAACCAGCTACCCTTTCTTCCCAAGCATCCTCCAAAATGCTTCACTTGTGACAGTGTCCTTTTCACTTGGGATGGGATAACACATCAAAAACTCCATCACTTTCTTGTGGAGGGACTGGACCAGACCATTGAGAGCCTGTGAAGCTCTCAAAGCAGTCAATAGGCAGTTCAGAAATCCAACAGGTACCCCATTGAGTTAACACCATTCTCATTCTACAGCTCAGACAAAAGAGAAGCAAAGGAGAAGTAATTCAGTATCTCAAAGAAGTTCATTCAGTATCTGTGGAAAAACTGCAGAGGGACCGCTACTTTTTTGGCAGTGTTGCACATTACCATTGCATGGGATTTTGCAGTAACCTCGGGGCCGCAGGGGCACACCACCCGTGTTAGAAATCAAGGCTGTTGAATAAACAAAACCTTTGCCACAGAGGCAAATATCCTAAGGCCAGCTCCTGCCCTCAGGCACGGTACCGTTCCCACAGCATCCTTTCAGGGTTGTGGCCCTAGGACTCCTCCTGCTTGGCTTCATCCCAACTCTGTGCCTTTTCTAAGGTCAGAGATAGATGTTTAAAAAATTAGTGCAAGCTTTCTTTTAAATGCAACTTTTTTTTTTTTTTTTTTTAGTGCGGCTCTTTCCTCCTTACCTTTATCTTTTTTTTGCTGGAATCCATGATCATTTTCCAATCTGATCCATTGTTGCTGTAGCCAATTTTGAATTTTTTCATGAATACTTTGTTTTCTCGGTGCTTGCCTCCTTGGACAATTATGCCCCTCACTTTTTTTTCTTCACCAAGGTCAATTTGAAGCCATTCGTTTGTATATGGATGAGTAGTTGGTGGCAGCGCCCAACCTGAACGGCTTGTTATGAGGCGAGCATTTTCTGGGATCCAGTTTCGATCAACTTGGGTAGATGCAGTAATCTGAGAGTCAGGAATGAGCCCAGAAACCATACCCAGCATCCCAGAGCAAGGATAATCTACAGAGAAAAAACCCCAAATAAATAGTTAACCTGAACAAGCACCAAAACAGAAACAGGACACATCAGTCGGTTCAACTATCATAAGCAATTACTTATTTTTTTCTTATATCCAAATAATCTTTTTGGATTTCTATATAATTTTCATTTGTTCAAACTTGCACATCCTAGTTTTGGCAGGAAGTACCAAAATACCACAAGTATTTCTGGCTTGATGGGAACCAAAAGGATCAGAAAATCCTATTCTATTCTTGTTTTCTATTCTTCTTGCTAAGGCAAAGGGTGCAGGGTCACATCTGAATTTGTCAATAGTTCTGTAGAGGAAACTTCTAAAATCAGCCAAAACCTGGTTGCAGATTACTTAATTTTGGTAACGTTGGAAATGGAAATCTTTTATACATTCTGTAAAATATGATTTAATGTTGTAGTCGAGATTTTTCTACTGTATTTCTTTGGTCTCTCAGGCTTTTTCAAATGACACAGAAGCTAGAGAGTTGCTTCTTTTATGGTCCCAGAAAAATATAAATTAGAAGTAGGAAAAGCTGCTAAGAAGGAAAGAAGATTTTCAATACAAAATGTAACAGCAGTTCTGCTGATATTACCTTTATCTAATCTGAAAAGATATCACAGAACAACCTGGAATTCTATAACGTAGTAGTCAGTAAGCTTATTTTCCTGCTGTATGGAAACCAGTCCTAAGAAACATTTTTAAGACTAAAGAAACACCTTAAGGGATGAAAAAATATCCCTAGAACTATTAAAAATTAGTGCCAATGAACTGTATTAAGAGCTATAAAATGCTGCCAGATTTTTTTTTTTTTTTTTTTTTAAATCAGCTTTGTGAAAAGTATTAGTTGCATTCCAATACCGATCACTAGCGGGAACCTTACTATATCTGTTGAGTTGCTTGAACAGGCTTCGGGTCTAAGTGTTTGTACCTTGCAATGCTTTTAAATCTAGTTATGTATGTTTGTTCCTTGGGAAACCTGCTGAGAACTACCTACAAATAGCAGGCATGAGAGAGAGGGACTGGAGGGTTAGGAAAGAAAAACAAGATCAGAATTTGCAAAATACCTGTGTACCTCAGGTATTTTGCATGAAGCCGTAAAATAATTGCAGGAGAAGTAATTCAACCTTTTTTTTTTTTCCCACTTCTTAAAGCTAAACATCTAAAAGATAATGCCAGAACAACATTCAGGTAACACTGGATGTTTGAGTGCTGTGTTTTCTTTTCTGTTTTTGTTTTTTTTTTACATTTCTGCATTCAGACCACAGTAGAAATAGTGACATAAAAATAAAACCCACAGCATAGGCACAATAAATTCCTTTGGTTGTAAAATCCTTCCCAAGACCTACCTGTTATCTTGCAGCCGTAAACTTCAAATCTCAGTGATACTCCATTTTCCCAAGACACAGGTCTAATTCGCACAAATCGTGTTAAAACTGGTTTGGCAAAAGATCTGTAAACAACCTCAGTGGGATTGCTATTCCCTTGAAACACCTTTGTGTGGAAAGAAAAAGTATATATTTGTTAGGCTTTCTCTTAAATGGCGTTTAGAATTCTGTTTCGCAGATAGTTACGATACAAGGTCTAACAGGGTTATTTTGAGGGGGCGATGAGACAAAAGTCTTGCGTGGGGAACTATTTCATTAAAACCCTAACACAGGTTTTGCAGACAGATAAGCTTTCCTTGGGTAGGAAAAAAGAAGATGTAAGGTGGTCGATGATACTAAAAAGTACTTTCCACCTGCAGAGCCCCGTAACACACCTCAGCGCTGCAGAGCAGACCAGGAGAGCTCAGGGCCATCCCGAGAGCAGCAGCTCACCCGGGTGCCACAGGGGTCTGTCCACTGCCTGCCTGTTTTGAGGTGTTCCTGATGCCCAGATCTATACGCAGGAATGACTTACGCCGGCCTTTGTCACCCGAGGGCTGCCGTGTCCCGGAAGACCCCCTCAATGCCCCATTAGGGCAGTTTTATTCCTTGTACACTCATAGAATAATGCAAAAAGCTACAGAACCTCAGGCCCAAATTAAAGGTTTGGATTTCAATTAGACCACATAAAAATCCTACATGGAGTTAGGATAAAAATATGTATTATTTTGCTGTCCTTGGGCTTAAGAGTTTTGCAGAGTGTATCGTGCAAACCATGCTTTGTTAACCACCTTCTGTTTTCAAATCCTTTTTAACAAGTACTCAGACTTTCTTTCTCCTTGCACACGGAGATGGAAGTCTATTTAAAATCTGTATAGCAGGCTCTAAGATTTTCTCTGCGTCCCCTGAGGCTAACAGTCAAATTAGACGAACAATGAGACTTCCACAAGAAGGGACGGGGTTGTGCTGTGCTTTCATGTTGAGGATCCTGCAGACGCGCTTCTTCCTAGCAGAGCTGAAACCTTGCAATGTTCTAGTCCAAAGAAGGTGATTCAGTTTCCTGCTTCTTCCTCACGTAGAGAGTACCGATTTCCTGTTGTTTTCCATGGATACAAACCCCTCTCCTTTCATGGGAGATTCTCCCATTTCTTGCACACACCGTCTACCTTCCTGTTTGTTACTTGCGCTAACTGCACTCATTTGGAGCGGAGGCCAGCAGCGCACAGCTGTCAACTCATCAGGCTCGGTTATATCTCAAGTGGTTTAATATAGGAGTTTCATACCTAGCAAGAGATTTTGAAAGGAGCTACGTTTCTTTTCGGCAACTTTCTTTCTCTGGGAGGACCTGCTGTAGTTTTCCCAAGGTCTGCATCCGACAGAGGAAATGAGTCTTTTCTCAAAAGTGCACAACTCCTTATGTGTGGTTAGTGCAACACTCATGTGAGGCTTCCTTGAGGAGATCTGTGGCCGCCTGATTTTGTTCCTTCAGCAGCCACGTCTCCTTAACTGTTCATATGAATAAAAATATCAGAGGGAGACTGGTGTGTAGTTTTTTCTTGTCCTGATCAACAGCAAAGCATTGCCATTTTAGAAACCTGATTTTTTTTAATAAACCCTTTGAACAAATAACACAGGTTTAGGCAGTGTTCTCTCTGATTAAGGACAGCATGTACAATAGAAACTCATGTAAAATACACTCTTGGAGAGTTTACAAATTGAAGTTGGTAATGAAGATCAGGCATGGTCTGATTTTGAAAGAGGCATTTGTTCAGATTACGGGAACCAGAGCCAGGAAACCCTGTGTCTCATACCAGCCGCAGCACTGGCTCCTCTTGTGACTTTGGGCAAGTCAGTTATTGTACCGTTATACATCATTACACAGTGCCCACATTGTGGCATTTGACCTTCTAAAGTTCCTCTTCTGTAAAACCAGGATAATGCCTGCCAAAGAGAAACTTTCAGGATTCATTTTTTATTGTTTTACAAAGTGGTTCAAAGAAGAAAGATGCGTGTGTTAAACACTGCTACCTTGTTGATTAGATAAATGTAGTGGACTTGGCATAGCACTAACAGATGAATCAGGGACAAACCAGTGACAAAATATTTAGACCTAGATAGGGTTACACTGATAGAGTTTTATATTACACAGCTCTTCTCGGTCCTCACAGAAGGGTCACAAAAAAGCTATTTGGAAGGGAGGTACCACAAAACCTTTCCAATTGCATCAGCCCCTGGCAGCCTCTGGGGATGCTGCTCCCGGGCACATCCTGAGTGAGGTGGGAAGGGGGGCACAGCCTCACTGGGACTATTCCTGTGAGAGTTGGAGCAGAACTGACTTCTCAGTAACGAGCTTTATGCTCATGGTAGCGGATAATAAAGATTTTTTCTTATGAGTGTCTAAAGCTTTCATTGGGAGGTCACAGAGAGCAAATCCACTGATAAATGGAAAGGTGATAAAAATCTATAAGGATGGAAAGATGTGCCTAATTATCTGTCTGCATGACCCCCATCACTGAGATGCTTGGAAGTCTAACAAATTACTAATGACTTGCTAGCACTCCTGCGAGACAGCATGGCTGTGCACAGGGAGCTGAGCCACTGACACACTGCATATCCAGAGCTTCACCGAGGCAAGGGACTGACTTACATATTTTTTGAAAGGTTCCCCATAATGTTTTTCTCAAAATCTCTGGCAAACTGGGAAACGGCAGCACACTCCAGGGAAGAGACCCAAGCCACTCACATTCTGGTGGGTGCAACAGGCAGGGCAGCACCTTGCACCCCTCTCAGCTGCTCTGGGCTTTGGGTAAACAATTTCTGTGGCCTGTTACTACTGAGACAATAGCTGCCTTTTGGATTTGGGATATCGTAAACCCTGACCAAGCTGAGTAAACCTGTGATACCTTATTCCTCCTTTTTTAACAACTGAGAGTAACAAAACAGTACAATAGTCTACTTCCTGGCCGAGTAGAGGTAAAAGAGAAAAGACTTACAACAGGTTTGTTTCCTTCCTTCAGTGTAATCCAGTCCTCTCCATTGGAGCTGACATCTACGCGGTATGTTTTCAGATAATATTCTTTCTTTGTTTCTTTTGAGATGGCTCCTTGGGTCCCAATTCCAGAAACAAAGCGGAGAAGGCCTAGATCTACCTGTGGCAAGGAATGAATCGGGACGTGAGGACAGTCAGCTCAGAGCGTAACAGTAATGATGAAATTACACCCCCTCCACGTTTTACAAAGATAATAAGGATTTTATATAAAGGAAATTGCAGCATGTTGTCGATAATAACATAGCCATAATCTCCTCTTTTATAAACAGTGTCATCAGAGGAGACGGGAACATTTTCCTAATTAGCCAGGAGGGCTGTTCACATGCCAGGGAATTATCTTCCCTCTGTGGGGGAGGAACCAGAGACCCCACCAGTGCGAGCGGGGACCACCAGACTGCAAAGCAGTTACTGGCGAGGTTCCTCAAGGACCAGTCTGGTGAACAATCTTACTTAATGCTTTCACTAACTACCTTGCATAGATGCTAATGAAATTCGCTGAGGACACAAAGCTGCAAGGCATTGTCAATACAGCGGAGAGTCATGCAGCGAGAACTGATTGACCCTGAGGACTGGAGCATTAGAAATGCGGTGAAATCAAATAGTACAGTATCAAAGTTGTGCAGTTGGGGAATGATAACAAGAATTCTGCTAAAACCCAGGAGCTCATCACTTGCAGACAGAAGAGGAGAAAAGAATCCCATGGTGTATTAGTTAGTCACAAGGTAATTACAAATCGCTGTGTGATTTTGTTGGGAAAAAGGCAAATGAGTCGCTTGTACCATATGATGTATTTGAAGAAAACAGAAAGAAGCATTAGCACAAGTGCAATAATTCTGTTCCAGCTGTCAGTGAACTTTAACAAATAGAAAATAATGGCATTTTGAACTTGCTGGAGAAATGAGTGCTACGGTGTGCACATGAATGTGTGTTGGAGGCCTTCTCTCTTCTTCACCTCTTCTCTCTTTCTCCTTCCCCCATGCAGTTACATTGCAAACAAACGGACAAGTGATTTCGGTTAACCTTCCCCTCCCCCAGTTATTTATTTGTCATCCAGATCTGTTTCCTGATCTAGTTCATCATGTGGCATCGCAGAAGATATATCGGCATGGTTGGGAGGATGGTGTGGGGTGCAGGAGTGCAGCGACTCAAGTCAGTCCTGCTGGCAAAAGAAACCTTTCTCCCAGGGCACAAGTCCAGCTGCCAAAACTTTCTCACAGCCAAGTTGTGACCACAGCTTTGAAACACCTGCCATTTCCTTACAGCCTTTCTTTAGCCATAACAACAAACCAATTAAAATCAAATTCATCACCTTCTTTGCCTGCAACTAGAACCTTCTCTTTGTTTCCTAAAGCAAACCATTTAATTTCAATATAAAATGACACTCTTCACAAAATATTAGAGTAATTTATTCCCCTAAATTTCAGTTGTCCAGACTTTAGTAGGATAATAGATTGAATTAACCTTTCTCAAGTGAATGTCCCATGTCTCAGGCTTTTTCATTATTTCCAAAGTATGCAGGATGGAGAATATACGTCCCCTGTGTCCCACAGGCATCCTTTTTCCTGGATGTATGTCATATATCCAAAGGCGCTGGAGCAGTTGAATCGACATGCTCTGCATTCTCTCTCAAAAGGCTGAAGGAAGTGCTGTTGAGGACAGACTGGCTGCTCTCTCAACGCCCATGTCATATGCAAGGCATTTTGAAGTCTTCCAACACAAGAATAGCAGCCTTGTATGTGACAGAACTAGCTTTCAGGGCAAAGCCCCTGCCCCAGTTTTAAGGCTGGTAAAGTCTACATGTGACATTTTAACCCTTGTCTTTAGGGGTGAGGTACTACATTTTGTTTTGTAGTGATAAAAAAATTCAGACTTAAAAAAAAAAAAAAAAATCCCAGCACCGCCTTACAAAAACAATCAAGTGATTTAAAGCAACTGGAGAGTCTCAGATGTTAGATTGTTGCAATCTGAAAGTTAATGGGGGAATCTGGGCATCATTGCGCTGAGCAATCTCAGCTTAACTTCAAATGCTCTCCAAACTGTACTCTGCTGATTGTAAAGTGTGCTGCACTGAGTTATGTCCAATACCACATTCACTTCCAGGCTGAAGTGCACTTGAAAATCTGGAAGTCTGAGGGAGTGCAGAGCTAAGTTATTTAAATGATCTGCTTCTCTTACAATTTGAAACAGCTCTTCAGTTTTGAAATGATTAGGGTCCCAAGCCTGTACCGTTCCAACTGATTTGAAATGATGCTAGTAGGGGCTTTTTAATATACAGTAAGTACTTCATTGTGAATAAAGTCAAGCAATGGCCTATTACAAGAGTTCTAGGTATTTGAAGCCAAGTTAAAGTTTAACCTCGGGGTTTAAGGGAAGGTTTGATTAGTTGATGCCTGAGCTAACAATTACAGCTACTGGTCACCGACCGTGCAGGAGACTCAGGCTTGTCCCATCAAAGAACTTCAGGCACCTAAACTTTACTCAGTCCAAATGCTGGCATTCCGTACATTCCCTTAACTCTTGGGGCACTGAATATCTGACAGCATCTATCTCACTGCCCAGAACTAAGTTCTAAACACACAAGGGATTTAGACACTTCATTCCTAAAACATGGCAGAATTCAACAGGTAGGCGGAAATTCTCCTGCCAGAAGTTAACAGTTCACTGGGAGAGAAAGAGGCTCTGAGAAGACTGTAATTTATTGCCTATATGTAAGGAAGAGGCAACCTTGTTAGCACTCCTGGCTCCAGTAACTGTGTAATACAGTACAGGAGGAGGGGGGCATTGCTTGTCATTAGGGAGAACATCTCTTCACATAGATACGCTCTTTCCGGATCAGCAGATCTTTACGTGTTTCTTGAAAACTGGAACTATGTCAACAGCAATCCTCTCCCGGAGCGCCTGGAGGCTGATGGCTCAAGTGTTCAGCTGCATGCTACAGCTTTAAACCCCTTGAAAAAGCAAGCTGTAACCCCTGACCTGCCACATGTCAAAGGGTATTTGCTCAGAAGCTGGTAGAAGAAAAAAGAATAACCTTTCATAGAACCACAGAATCACAGAATGGTTTGGGTTGGAAGGCACCTTGAAGATCCCCTAGTTCCAACCCCCCTGCCATGAGCAGGTCCACTAGACCAGGTTACTCAAAGCCCCATCCCACCTGGCCTTGAACACTTCTAGGAACTGGGCATCAACAACTTCTCTGGGCAACCTGTTCCAGTGCCTCAGCACCCTCACTGTGAAATTTTTTTCCTTATATCTAATCTAAAGCTACCCTCTTTCAGTTTAAAGCCATTGCCCCTTGTCCTATTGCTGAATGTCCTTGCAAAAAGTCCCTCTCCAGCTTTCTTGTAGGCCCACTTTAGGTACTGGAAGGCTCCTATAAGGTCTCCCTGGAGCCTTCTATTCTACAGGCTAAACAACCCCAACTCTCTCAGCCTGTCTTCATAGGAGAGGTGCTCCAGTGCTGTGGTCATCTTCATGGCCCTCCTCTGGACCCACTCTAACAGGTCCATGTCCTTCTTATGTTGGAAGCCCCAGAGCTGAATGGAGTACTCCAGGTGGAATCTCACTAGAGCGGAATAGAGGGGCAGAATCACCTCCCTTCACCTTTCTGGTCATGTTTCTTTTGATGCAGTCAAGGATATGGTTGTCTTTCTGGGCTACAAGCGCACATTGACATGTCATGTTGTGCTTCTCATCAACTAACACCCCAAAGTCCTTCTCCTCGGGGCTGCTCTCCATCCAGCCTGTATTTGTGCTTGGGGTTGCCCTGACCCATGTGCAGGACCTTGCACTTGGTCTTGTTGAACTTCATGAGGTTCTCCACCAGTGTTTTGTGAGAAAGGAGCAGTGCAAACAAGAACGATGGAGTTAAGCAGCAGGGAAGCAGAAGGGTTGGAGTTTGTAAGTACTAACTCTGACTCAATGCAGTGGTCCAGGAGAGAGGTAGAGGTTAAGGCATTTTCCTCCCTTTGACAGTTCTCTGCAGTGGCCTCCGGAGGAACTGCTCCTCTCCAGGTGCAGAGAAACAGATTTGCAACACTGAGCACCCCTCTGTGGTGCCTAAGTATGTTTGTAAATCAAGCTCTAAATTTACCGATCTTCTTCTCTAAGTGAGGTGATAGAAATAAATAATGTAGAAGACTACTTTGGAAACTGCATGACACATTGTAAGGGGCTGTAAAGCTCACCTTCATTAATCACTTTGTGATGTATTTTGGTTTCTTTCCAATGTCTTTTGAAAGTTTACCTTCTGTAAAATGCATAAAATACATATTCTAAATGTCTCAGGAACTGCTCAGAGCTGATGTTCAACCATATCAACTGCTATTAACAACTGGAACCTGAAGGTACCAAAATGCAGCTGTAGTAAGACAGTAGACTTCTGTACTATGCTATCTAGAGGAATTGTTGTAAAGGACAGCAGCTCTAGTACAGCTGTGTCACCAAACAGATACGAGTTCTCATGCTTTTTGGAGGCTTATGCTTATAGAGTCCAACTATCAGTGTAATTTCCAGTCAGCTTAGTACATCCTCTCCACAGAGGTCTCCAAGTGTTATGATGACCAGGGCTAATCAATTTTTCTCAGATCTAGTCTCCTCCAGCTGAGATAGTAATACAAATCTTTAACAACTAGCTTTTTGTTTTGGGCTTCTTGTCCTTTTTGTTTCAAGAACTTGTGTTTCATGTTAAAATGAACTGTGGAGAGAGGTGGTGATGAAATACAGTACTTTTGAAGATGAACATCAAATGCATTTCCCTGCAATTATTTGACATTTAACTTTCTGCACATATGGTAAACAAACATCTGGTATTTATTTTAGAGGATGCAAGTGATTTTGTAAGCTATTGCATGCTGTATGGCTGTGATCTGAGATAGGCAGCTCTCTCCAAACCTGAAATCATGACATTTCATTTCCATAACCAGAGTTTTAGCTTTGACTAACTAACAACAGTGTATTTCTACTCCTTTTTTCACATTCTATTCACTTTCATTCAGATTAAAACCCATACCTCTTCTGGAAAATGATGCCTTAGGGCCTTATCCAAAAACACAGACTTTGCTGACTGCCTGTGTTGCGGTGTGACCACCTTTATCGGTA